GAGGGGAAGCTGCTGCTTTGCAAACACAGGTCACTGGCGAAACTATGAACACCCACACCATGTGAGTACTGAGATGAGCAAGAACTGGTAAATAGATCAAATAATTACTATTATTATGAAGAATTTTTATAGTTGACACATCTGAAAGCAGATAGTTATGCATATGTAAAACCATATGGGGAGGGAAGGTGTGGGGAACAGGAGTGGTGTGATAATGTATTGATTAGGAAAATGTTTGGGGTTGGGGTTTTTTAAGGAGGAAGACTCTTTTGAACAGGAATAGTTCTTTCTACGTCAGCCCAAGTGCACAGCAGAAACTCAGAAATATGTCCAAGTATTCTCAGTTAGTGAAAAATGAATTATAAATTTTCTGCAGTTAGGGAAAAGTTCTTTGAGTTCCAGGGAAACCTGCTACGCTGGCTTGGATGGAGTTAATTTTGTCCACAGCAGCCCCCATGGTGCTGTGGTTTGGATTTGTGATGAAAACACTGTTTTTAACACAGGGATGTTTTATTTACTGCTGAGCAGCTCTTACACAGCCTCAAGGCCTTTTCTATCTCCAGTCAAACCACGCAGTGGGCTGGGCCTCCAACAGGAAGCTGGAGGGGGCAAAATAAAGGGAAAATAACAACCAAGGAACCCCTCTAAGTGTATTTTCTGTTTCATCAAGAAAAGAGAAGGTGTTGTTACATACAACAGGCTGTCTACTCTGTTCTTCCTGGGTTTGGGTCAGCTGAAGAAAAAACATTTTAGAGCATTCACTGTGTTTCAAAATCACAAGCAGTATGTAATATGTTTCCCAAACCTTTATCTGATTCAAAAAATATTCCCTGCACGGTTTGTTGCACTGAACTCTGACCAAAGAGTCAGTACAATTTGGAACATTATGGACTTAGCGACAAAATAATGAGATTTTTTCTTTTTTTTTTTTTTTTTTTTTTTTTTCTCTTTGAGAGCTCTGTAAGAAACCATGAAAGGGCTGAATCTGAGGGTAGTGGTGACTTTGGGCATCGCTGCAGGAGCCAGCTGGTGGGAAGCTGGAAGCAGGGCTTTGACTGAATTCTTAGGGCTAAGAGATGATAAGAGGCTCCACAGTCCTGTGGAGTTAAGCAGCCTGACAAGGTGAGCCAGGAGCGAGAAAGGAGCTCTTAAAATCTTCAAATCAATTCCCTGGAAACATGGGAAATACAAGAACTACAGCAGCCACACTTTTTTTGCTGTAAGAAGAAAGTCCCAGCATATAGTGAGGCTCTGAGAGAGCAGCTTTCCTCCCAAACCGGGTGATTCTGAAGCATTTGCCTTTATTATTGATTCCCTGAGAGAAACCCAGCTATGCAGGAGTGTTAAAGGAACTGGGGAGGGAGTGAATATATGCACAAGTGAGAGATCCTGAATTCACTGTTGCTTCATTCAGATCAGCTTATAGAAGTTGGATAATCTTCTTACTCTGTGGATGTGACGATGAATTTAATGTCTCACTGTAGAAAAGCCAGGAAGCAGAAGTGTGCTGAGAATTTGAGCACAACCAAAATTTGTGCAAATGGATTTGGTGGCATTTGTTTCAACATGTCAAAGCAATTCCTGCTATGTGGGAAAAGATGCAAAAATATAAGGGGTTTACTGGCACATCACACTGATGGCACTGACTTTGACAGATGCCATTCCTTCAACAGTGGAGCTGCTTTGGGTGTAAATAGAATTCGAAATACCAAGACAGGAATTTTGAGAAGATAAGGGGAGTTGAGCTCTTAATTTAGTTTTACACTTTTTCAGTCATTCCTGTACTCGACTGTCTGAAATTCTCCGGGATGAAAGAGCTGGAGTTTATTGCAGCCTACAGAAAATGGCTAATTTGGTTTATAATGGGGCAGGCACAGATCTGACTCCAAAGCAGCAGGAAGGTTGTGTTCTGCATGAGCTGGTTCCCTAATTGGAAAGGGTCCATAAATGCAAAGACAATCAGAGTGGGATTTTTACAGCCTCCCCCTAACAATTGCTCACAGCAGTTTAGTAGAACTGACTGTAGGCTTTCCCATCTTATTTTTCATTAATGGTAGCAGAGTAGAGACTGTCAGTTGGGTTTTTCTTCTAAGGAAACTGTTTTAATGGTGAATGAGCAAGAGTATTCAGGTGAGAAGGAGCTTCATGAGGAGAATATATTTCCCTGAAATATAAATGTTTAAAAAGCAAAATATTTCATCTGATTAGCTTGACACTGTTGTTGCTATCATTTAGTTTTCTTACATCTTATACTTTACTGAGAGTTCTACGAGCTGGTAACTAATACAATAAAGCACAAAACCACAGAGCAGAACTGGAACAAGAAGCGGGCTAACAGGACAGCTGAACTGAAATAATAATAATAATAAAAAGACTAAAATTTTGAGATTTCTGGCTCTATTTCCCAACTCACTTTCCACGAGTCTTATCAATTCCCCAATCAACATTGCTGTACGAATTTTTAGCCAAAGAATGAACAAACCTCTTAAAAAGACTATTAACTGCAGCTATTCCAGAGCTGTGGCTTCTGAATTAAAGGTCATGACAGTTATGAATGAGGTTATGGGATTTTTCACTCTACTACTTGGGCTTATGTCTTCAACAGAAGTGGAAATTTAAACCAGAAACAGGATTGCAAGATGACAAATGAATGAAACTCCAAACTACAGAAAGCAGGGTAAGAGGAGGTCATTCCTGAGGCAGTGCAATGAATTTGGGATGTTGATGTTTTGACCAGTGAATAGATCACTGAAGCCCAACGCCTGGTGCTGGCAATGCAGCACTTGCTGCAAAGCTTTATCTTGAGAAAACAGCGACCCATCCTTCAGATTTTCCTCCGACTGGCTGACTGAACAGGTATTTAAACCAATATCATAGACCTTGTTTGCCACCACGAGTTCAAATTCCCCTCTCCGTTTTCTGATCTTTCTTGATTCTTCCCTTCCCTCTCTGCCCCAACAAACCAGTGCTGGTCACGGTTGCCTCTCCCTGCCCCTCAGTGTTCCTGCAGCAAGCTTGGCTGGCAGCAGCACTCCTTTCAGAGGAAAGCAGAATTAAGCAGGACTTTGTCGTCATACCAAGAAATCAATGATACACTGAAGCACTTTTTAATTAGACCACTGCGGTCCTGAACTAACCCCGAGTTACTAAGATTAAATAATTGCTTATGGCATTCTCAGTGTGTAGTTCACCAGAGTGAAAAGAAGACTATTGACTCAACTGTTAAGTTTTGAGAACTGATGAAGTCTGCTGAGTGCAGAAATTCTTTTTAGCACAAAAAAAACCCGAATGCAGTTTTATGACCCAACTCCTTTGAACTATTTTAATTAAGGACTACTATGATAAGAAAGAAGTTGAAAAGCTATTTAGTGGGAAGACAGGCTCCCATTTAAATGTTGACTCATGAATTCAGCACTTTCAAGGATATTACCGTACTTTTGGTCTTTACTTTTCAAAGCCATTAACTTCTCCCAGCACATTTCTATCCGTGTCATCACAGGAACCTGTTAAAGTCGTATCACTTTGACATCTATTCTCTTTCAGTCACCTTAGATTTTTTTTCCCCCTTTTCTGCCTAAATTTAGACATACAAATTTGAATAAACGACTGTCTTCAGCTTTACATTCAGATTTTCTGTAGGTGTAATCTGGCACAAATCCCCTGACTGTGGTGGAGCCACCTTGACACACGACTTGAAAACCTGACCTTAAGAACTCATTATATTTAAAAGTGTAACTAATCTAACTAGACATTCTTTCAAAAAGGTCATTGTTACATTCACTTGAATAATAAAAATGTACAGGGAACAGGCTAAGGGAAAACGGAATTTTTAAATGATAGTAGAGCAAGAACAGAATTAATATTCTATATTACAGAACTATCAATAATTATAGAATTATGTACCATGTGCATCAAAGCATATACAGATGTAGAAATAATTAATGTTTCTACATTTCATGAACTAAGTATATTCATGGTCTTTCATCTTCTTTCTTAACATATAAAACAAATACAAGCATGTGAACTTGTACTTGATAGTGCTGAGTTCTTCCATCAAAATTATACCACCCGTGCAAAACAAAAAGGAATATTTGCCCTTCAAAGTGTTCCACGACAGAAAATCAGCAGAGCACTCTGGGCTTGCTGTTTTTAGAGGATATTCAGACTGTGCAGTACGAGTTTCAAAATCCCACTCGGTTTCTCAGTGGCTTGGTAGGGCTTTAAATTCCTGCACGGAATGAGGCTCCTGCCAGTCCCTGGAGGGAAGCCCCGGCAGCAGCCGAGGCTGCCAGGACACAGAACCTGTTCCACTGCTGTTCCTGCCCTATCAATCATCTGCAGTTAAGAGAAAGGTGAGCTTCTGTGTTGAGATATAAGCCATTCATCAAGGTTAGGGTGGAAAAAAGGGGAAATAAAAACTTAGTTTTACAGGCAGATGTTCAGGCAGGAGCAGCAGGGACAGGATGAAGAGAAGGATGAGGAGCCGGAGGGGTGAACGCTGGGCAGGGGCAAAGCCCCCTCCTGGGCACAGAGACACAGATCTGTGCCATGTGTGTGCTTTGCCTTGAAAACCTTAACCCTGGCCTGTGAATGGTGTGTGAAGCACCAGCTGTGAGGCACCTACCCAGGCTTTGGGAAGAAATGTGGCATAACTGCAGGCTCGGGCTGAAGCCCCTGGAAGGGTCGGTCATTACCTGGCTGCTGGAGCTCGTGTGTCAGTTGGCGTCTGACGAGCTGCAGGCACTCACCAACTTTTCCAAATCGCAAACAAAAGATCTACAAACTTGTCCTGCAGCAAACAGTGCCTTAGTAATTCCTGCCAGCGTGGTTCCCTTTCCATGGCATTGCAGGATTGCTGATGGGGACACCCACGGTGAGGGGATAATGGTAACAGGGCACTTGCTGCTCTGAGATGCTACAAGGGGACAGGGAAGGTGTTTTTCCAGAGTTAAGTTTAATAAACTGAATTTACACATTGCTGTAAGGAAAATGCCTCCCACAGTACCAGAGTCAACAGCACCTCCCGTAAGGATTATGTTCTTTTTCATCAGGAGATCTGTGAGTTTCTCAGCAATAAGGACACCCTGTTTTCTGAGGGACATTAAAGGCAGAGCTGCACAGAGACTTCACTCATTCATGGTCTGCTTGAGGGACAGACAGAAAGGAAACAGGACTTGAAAAGAGCCAAGTATTCAAGACCTCTAAAACTAAATGTACAATTCTGTTTTCATTTTCTCCGCTGAAGGAATATTAACTTGCCTCTATTAACTTATATTTTAGAAGATGCTATGAGCTCATTTTGATATTAAAGATTCTTTAGGACATTTTCTATACTCCAGCTCTTATTTTAGTTTTAACTTAATTAAAATCTTTTTGAGATTTTCTTCCTGAGACACACTTAGCCTTTCAGTAACAGAATACAGATAATTATATCACTCCTTTCTATAACATTTGCAGATGGACTGAATAAAGTAAAGCTGTGTTAAAATAGTGTCTGCCTTATTATTTGATACACTGGACAGGCTTGGTGCCTCTAGATAAGATCCTGGTGGTGTTTCAGAATAATACTGTTTCTCACTGAAGCCAATGTGTCAGGACAGCAGGACTGTAATTTTTCCTGAGAGAAACACCCCCCCAGGCCTTGGGTGCAGTTGACACCCCATACTTTTAAAGAAAATGAATATTGCAGTATCAGAAGGTACAGGCTCATAGAGGCCACAGTAGGTAAAAAGTTTATCCTCTCCTCTTTAAATCATACCTGTTTAATGACTTCCTAGCATCCTGTCCATACAGCTGGCTTTTAATCTCTGCAAGGTGACTTCTAAATTCAGTGTAAAGATACTTTCTGAAATGAAGAATAAGTAATTAAAATTATATATATGCACAGCTAGATATTTTTATTAACAGCATGCATTTAAAAATGCATAGAAATGTAATTTGCAGTTAAGACACTGTGTAAGACAAATTATTTTGTATGTATTTTATTAAAGAACCTCAAATCTAAATAGTTTTACTGTGTGAGCAAACAAAGGTTTTAGAGATTAAAATATATGACCCTGGACTGCCAGTAACTTTACACATATAAATACTAGCATAGATTCAGGAGTTTAGAATGGGAAAATCCTGGTGCATACAAATAACCTGACACATTAAAATGTATGTTCCATCCACAGTCATCCAGAGGGAATCAGATCGAAGGACTGAATATGTGTTTTCTAAATTAAAAATTCAAATCAGAACATGTAAAGTGGTTTAAAATAATAATTACATGAATCCCAATTAAGTATTACACAGTAATTACAATGAGTGCTATTAACAAATTCAAAGTATGATTTTGGTTAAAGGTATTACCATGGAACACAACTCCAGGCAGGTGCACCCAAACACCAACAAGTGGAGGAGGAATCACAGGTGCTTGTGTGTCAGGGAGGAATGAAATTAGCTCAGTATTCTGTGGTTTGTGCTACCTCAGCCAACTAGAACCTTGCTTTTCCTGTGCTTTTATAGGCTAAAATGTTCTTAAAGGATAAACACAGAGAAGAATTAAAAAAATTAGAACTAGAGGAGTGTGTATGCACTTTTGAGTAACAGAAAATTAAAGTTACTTCTCCATGAAGTTTAGCTTTTGTTTTGTAATATCTACAGCAGGTTCTTCAGAGAACAATCCAAGTGAAATCTTATTTCAGTGTGTGAAAGCTGGTTTAGGAACCAAAGTTCTACCTTTAATAAAAAGCAAAACGAATAGAGCAGGCTTTAGATTTAGCTATCTGTGCTTGAAAAATTAGCAGTGTGATTATATGTCGTGAAAACTGTCTTTGAAAACTTATTACCAATGAAAATATTTATCTTGAAATAGTTGCAGTTTGGGACGTAACATTTAGTTTGTTCTGTATATGGTAAAACCACAATGTGTAATAATGAAATACACACAAAACTCAATGTGCACCCTTCATTTTTATGCAGCATTTAAGAGCATGTGTGCAATCCAGACTCTCCAAGTTTCCAGCTGTATTGGGAATAAAGGGTTACACGTCATGCATCTGCTGTAAACCCAGTTACACCTCTGGTTAAATGCTCCTCCCCTCCTTCCTAGAATTCCTATACTGATGGACCCAAAATTTGTGTTCTGAAGCTTTTCTATTTGACATCACCTTTTCCCTTAAAGCATTCCACAAAAGTCAGCTGAAACTTCCTTTAATTTTGCTCTGGATAGACTGACTCTACCCACACACAGTAGATTTCATTCAGTGTCTCAAAATAGATTGTCCCTACAAATTCAGTGGAAGCCACATTGTCTTGTGATGTAACCACAAACACTGAATCATTTCCACAGAACAAAACAGATAAGATGAGGTTTCCCTGAAAGATTTCCAACGGGGTGACACTTTATTTTGTATAGAAAACGTTCTATTCTATATTCTGAAGTCATGTTTGTAAATAATCTTTTCCCTTCACAGTGTTTTGCAGATATCTGATTCCAAAGTGTTCTTTCACTAAAGGCCTGAGACTACAAACGTGCCACAAATGTGGGGTCCAAATGACAAATCTGCTGGGAGAACCAGAGCCAGATTCAAATATGAACAAAGCCCTGGAGGAGGCTTTGCATGTGTGGTGGAATGTGCATCCATTCAGCCTCACATTTGTGTTCTCTCTCTCTTTTTTAGAGAGACAGAAATTTTTTTTGTAACAATTTTTCCTTTCTTTTTCCTTCCAAATTGGAATGATTTTCCCCACTGAAGACCTGGTTGGAGCTTAAAATGCCATTGTTCTAAGTTTCAAGGGATGCCTAATTAGAATAATGATAGTAGAACAAAAAGTGACAATTTTCATCCCAACTTCTGATAGGTTTGGATTGCAAATCATCTGCTGCCATTCTCCAGGCACATACCCAAATAAACAAGTAGCAAGTCCCAGAATGACTTTAAGATGTGCTAAACATTCAATTCCTGTGCTAGTTTGCAGGACAAACAGTCAGAAAATCAGGCCACAATCACTGAAAGCCAGATTTTTGACAGCTTGGAGGAACGGAAGGTTTCAAACATAGCATGATTTGCTTTAGGGATGTTTCAAACTGGATAGATAGATTTTTTTTTTCCAGATCCTAGTTCTCCTTTTGTTTTCTCCTTGTGAGAAAATCTCCCCAGTGAGTGAGAGTAACCCAAAGCCCTGTCCACATCTTATCAGTGTCTGTCAGGGGCTGGAATTGCAATGCAGCACAGATATTGCACAAGGCATGGGCCAAACACGTAACAATTCCTTGACTGCATGGTCCAAATCACTGTCTAGTAACATTAAGGTAATATACCTTCACAGATTTTCAATAGCAGCTCAAAGCACACTGCAGAAAAATGTTTCAAGATTGCAAAAAAAAAAAAAAAAAAAAAGCCAAACATACTTGATTTCCATTTCAACAATTAACACACATTCTAAAAGTCAGAGTCTCCACAGCCACGCAGCCCTGAAAAGCTGAAGGGTCTGTGGTTCAACTGAATCATCTGACTTTCAAGCAGAGGACATCTATTTTAGTTCATCAGACTTGCTAAAATTAACCAAGGTTCAGAGCTTTGTGAAAAATACATGCTAAAAGAACTCCTCTAAATCGAGATTGCGTACTAATAATTAAAGTTCCACATTCTGAAGGTTTTTCTCGTGGTTTTTGCCTCTTTCCAGTAAAATCGTGGGAAATGGAAAATTAGCATTAAGAACAAGTTGAAAGGAACAAGCTGAAAGGAACAAGCTGACTGCCACAGATCTCAGACATCCCAAAGAACTGAACAAAACACACAATGTCACGGTCAAAAAGGTGCAGCAGGATCTATTTTTGTCTTAACCTCAGTCCTGTGCAAAGGTAAAGAAAAATAAGCACTCTGTTAACAACACAAATACATTTAGCCTTACAAAACAAGCACCGGTTTGCCATACTATTATTTCTATCTCTAATATTTCCTGAGACCAGGGAGGGCTACCAAGAGATTATTTTATTATAAAAGACTCATTACTCCACACAAGACTTGGCAGTGTGGAGCCAGAGCTGCCTTCCTTGATCTGTCAGGATGACACAAACCCACCTGCTTGCATCTAACTGGTAACTCCCCAGGAGAGCTTTTTTCTTTTGTTTTGTTTTGTTTTTTTTTCTTCCTTCTTCTCCTTTTCCTCTGTGTGTGTGTGATGTGGCATCTCTGTGCGTGTGGGGATCTGTTAAGACTTCAGACTTCACAATTACATTATGATGCAAGCTAATTTCTGTTGACACACAGTCTCTGTTGTCCTTAAAAAGCCTTTAAGTGGTTTATACCTTGTTACTTCTCTCTCAGGTATGTGCAATGTGAGAGGCTCAACCAGGGCACAGTTTCACCTCACATTTCTTGCTCTACAGGCTGAGGACAGAACTTTGAGCAGCCTCGATGCTGCTCCTGTGGTGAGGGAGACATGGGGAGCAGCAGCAATGATTGTGGCAATGTGTCATGTAGCTGTTAACACCTCTTCCCCAGAGTCCTAACTTGAGCCAGACCTGGGATCTTAGCACAAAACAGCAAGTCTGTAGAGGCTTTTGTCTTCTTCCCACCATAGTGGCATGTATACATATACATATATATACAGGCCCTCTGATATCCTCCTGCATTGAAAAAATTCCCACCAGTGGTAGCTCACCTTGTCCTACCTACATGTCCTGCTAAAGAAATCCTTCCTCCTCACCACAACTGCAGCTCCTGCAGTTCTTCAGTTCCTTCAGGCTGCTCAGGTGGTGCCAGGCTCAGTTTTGCCCTCTCAGTGCCCAGGATCTCTGATTGTTCTCCTGATCCACCTCTGACTGCTCTGGCATCTGTCTCAGGTACCAGCAATCCAACACATCCAGTCTTACACTCCGTTACGGTCACAAATTTGGTTTCATCCAGAAACAATAATATTTTCCAGGTAAGGGGAAGGTCACTGTCCTACAGAGGAATAGTGTCAGCTGGTTTATTTTAACTTCATCACTGAGCTGCAGATTTTCAGTCCCCTCTTTAATTTTTCAGTGAAGTCATAAACAACATAAATGTCAAAGACTTTCCCACAATAAAGGACAGCAGCTCAATTCTATTTTTGCCCATAGTTTCCTGAGGGTTGAGTTATCACTTTTTCCAGATCTTTGCTTCTTTACAACAACTTGACTTAAGTGGCTTCACAACAGTGGCTTAAGATGGTCTTGTCAAGGCATTTTTCATTTATTTAAAAAATTTGACTAATAAGGACTTGGTTTACAGTAAAGGCCTTTACAGTGTTATTTAAACTTTATAATTAAAGTTAATGAAGTTAGGTGAGCCTGGAAAATGGAAAAGGAGAATGCTAGAACAGGCACGGAGAGGACAGAAAAATAACATTCAAAGGATTACTTTCCAAATTTCATATTTCAAGAACTTCACAAATTCACCCATCCACTATGTGGTCAGTGTTATGTCTATCCCTTGCAATTGTAAAATTAGATAATTAGTGGCTAAAGAAACGTAGGTTACAGATCCTTATCTGTGCCAAAGAAATTAATCTCATATATCTTTTATAGCTTCCTGAAAAATCCTGAAGTATGTATTTATGTTGAGGCCTGATTTGTTTTGGTCTTTGATTTTACGTTGTATTGCACATTGTAACACAATAAAATGTATTGATTTTATCTACACAATTTGTGTACAGTGGAATATGAAAAAAATGTAAATTTATTCAGGTAGAAGGTTCAGAAAAAAAGATGCAAACACAGTCAAATTGTTCTATTAGTCTATACTATTGAATTTAGAAGTTTTATGAGAATTTTTGTGGGGTGAGTGGAAGTAGCATTTACCTGCAGTGTTATAAGCCACAGTCACTTCAAATCCTGTATTTTCACACTCATTAAACCACTGCTCAGAGGAGTCCTGCTGCTAAAATATGATGTGGTTCTTTTATAGTAGTGTCATTACCTAATGATTTTGAAAGAGCCTTATTTTTCAAAGGGGAAGGGAAAGTGAGATGAATTACCTGGGATTGCACAAGGCAGCTCAGGGAAGGCTGGCCCAGCTCCTGTGTGCACATTTAGTGCGGGAAAAGGGAAGGGACACACTCAGGAGAGATCATGGATAGAAATACTGAATTACTGAATAGGGGAATTTTCACATGCTTACTGGAAAAAAAAAAAACAAAAAAACAACTTAAAAGCATAACTTTTGATCCCTATTTCAGGAGATATTTATGACTTCACAACCCACAGAAACTGCACCCCCTGAGGAACATGGACAGCAATGCCCATGATGGTCAGTCCCGAGGAGTCATCATGACATTCTTGTACTCCAGCTGCTCTGGCCTGTTTCTAAACAAGCAATTTAAATGCACTTTCCAATATTTTTCCAAATACGATAAGACTTCTGCTTTTCCTACTGCCATTAATTTCAAAGGAGCTGGAAAACAGGAGCTCAATATCTACCACACTATTCCTTGAATTCATGTTGGATAATCCCCAGAGCTGTTTCAGGTCTGTCAGCAGCTAAACCAAAAACATTCACAGAAAAGAAGAATTTCCTACCTTTTTGCACAAAACCCCCTGTTGGTGCTGCTGTAATTTGTATTTATAGCACTTTATCACACAGTGCCATAGCCCAACACAGCACTGCTTCTGTATTTCATTTTTGAGGAATGACTCAGAGAGGTTTGGTGCCTTATTATGGCTTCATTAGAGAGGAACAAAAAGACATATAACTGTCTAACAGCCTATGGGGCTTTCGTAGCATGGAGATTGCTGGAACATAGAAATGCTTGAAAGTACTCCTAAACTGGCCATATGCAACTCCAAATTCCCTTTATGGAGAATAAACTCAAGATACTTTTTTCACTAATTCCATCCTATAGGAATAATGCAAACCAGGTGCAACGGAATCAGGAGTTTGGACTCCGATTAATAAAGTCACAAATCTAAGTTTAAAATAAATACACATTTTCGTCTAAGCACTGTCAAATCCCAGTGCTTGTTGCAGTGTAATTATCCTCATCTGCTTTTGCCCCCTGTATGTAGGGGCACATGTACATCTTTTCCTGGAGTGCCAGAATCACCCCGAGTGGGCACTCAGGAGTGATGTGCCCATTCATGGCATGATTTCCATATGCATTGAAAGGTGCTGAGAATTGCAAAATATCCTCCCTTGCACGGGAATATAAAGATGTTTACACATCTATCATTCTAATGACTCCTGCCTAGGCTAATGAGCTATGTGCTGTTCATAAGTCATGTTTTAGGGATCCAAACTTGATCTGCAAAGGCAATAACAATATGTTGGTGCTCTGAGTCCTTCTTAGTGATCCCTGTGCTGTTCCTTCCCCACCGTGCTGGTTCTACAACCAACACTCTCCCTGTTTCCTCCTTTTCACGTGTCACTCCTTGGATTCTCCAAGGCACTGTGATGTTTTAGGTGAAATCAGCAGTGTAGCTGCTTGGGCAGAGCCTCTGTGAAGGTGGTACACCAGTGTGTATTTGGCCAGCCTCACAAATATAGGTGTGAATTCCACAGACTATTTTACCCTGGAAAACAATGAACCTCTTGCCTCTTCAGGCTCCAGAAAGTAGCAGATGGCAGCCAAGTCAAACATTCAGAGTTCCTGGAAACTTCTGATGCTTCTAAATCATTCTTGCACGAAAAGTGCTAAACATGAACCTTCCCAAAGAATGTTCCATCACATAAACAAGTTACTTAAGCGGCAACAGCATCAGGTAGCTCAAATGTCCTAGCTGTCTGCAACACCAGTACAGGAAGAAAATCAAAGAAATACATAAAATGGCACATAAAATATAGTGAAAGAAGCTGAGCCACAGCAGTCTAGGGAAGTTCATTACACTTACATGCATATTTACAAGGTTTATGAGTTTCTAAGCCTGAGTAAATAAGCCAGCACTAAATAAAAGGAAGCACTCAGAAAGCTGCCATTATGATCTACTACAAAATTCCACCTCATTTAGATTTACCCACTCCTCAGACCTTGATTCAATTCAAAAGAGTTGAAATCCTTTTATAACCTTGTCTTGCATAATGGAATAAATCAACATACAGCATTTAACTGAGGGAGAAGAAAAATAAGACTGAACATGATATAAGGATATAGGAAGAAATGAGGCAGAAAAGACCTGGTTACACTTTTATATGTACAGTCACCAAAGCATAATTTTGCAATAATAAACAAAATATTTTTAAGTCCAGCAACATCTGATACTGGGGCAGGCACAGTATTGGCCATAGCTAGAGGGGGGCTTAATTTTATCCAAGATTTGAGTCCTAATTCCACATAATTCATGTGAGAGATTTTCTACTGCTGGGTTTTCTCAAGCTAAACTATCAGCCTTCTCTTTAATGAATATGTAGAGACCATCCAGAGAATATCCTTGTGCCTGAAAATGAGTTTTGATTTTCTTTTTTTCTCCCTAAAGGTATTTTAAAGTATTTTAAAGTATTATTGTTCGAGTTGCACATCAAAGTGATCTACTGGTATTGTAGAAAGGGCACCTCTATGTAATTGCATCAAATTGGCTCATGACACATTTATTGATAAGATGGATGTAGATAATGTTTGTGTGTTCAATAACCTTCTTTGGCCATTACTGCCATGGAGCCCTGGTTAAACGAGCAGGTTCAGTCCTCAGTTCTGGATGAAAATGGCAGGGACAGGATGAAACAATGAAGAATTTTACCCTTCTTTGTTTGTAAATACTACTCTGGTGTTTCTTAGTCCTCTTGAATTTTGTGTAAAATAACAATAATGAGAAAAAATAACCGTGGACTGAAAAGTCTGAGAGTCTGTAGGTAATACAGAAATTTTTACTGATAATTCGCCAGCTGGATGTGAGGTTGGACCAGTACAGACCTCCCAGCCTCCACTCAGCTGAGGGTTGATCATTGTGCATAATGTTTATTTTCACACTGGATTGATGAGAACTGTTCATCTCAGCCACAACTGCTCCTATCTGGAGTATAATATTTTCATATTTCAGCCATAGGGTCTTAGAAATGCAGTGTTGTCCTTTCTACATATGCCAGGTTTGAAGTTGTCACCAACCATCCACATGGGCCTGGGTGAGAGTTATTGTATGAGGTTACATGCTTGCTTAGAATTTGCAAAGGAAATGTCTTTAACAGATTATCTTGAAAGTCACAGCCGGATGAGCTTTTTCATTTACTATTAGAAGGCAAACAGGTTTGGGTTTTTTTGTTTGGTTTGGTGGGTTATTTTATAGTTAAAAACACTGAACTCTATTTCACAAATACGATATGATTTGGCAAATATTTGCTTGTCAATCAAAACAGGTTTTTTACTTAGGAAACAACAAAAAGAAGCAAGAGAGATGAGGCAGTGGTGCCAACCATACTGAATGGGGCACTGAAGAACTGGGAAAGAAGGATTAAAATCCCTCTGCTATTAAAAGTCAAAGCGTCTCCTATCCCAACTGTTGTTTGAATTGTTAGTTGGTGGAATTAAAGGTTCTCTGCTTTCTAATAAATTGTTTGGACAGGAAGCAATCAGAGCAAAGATCAAAGAGCCAAGACTCATAGTGCTTCCAGAACCCCCTGGATTCTTACAGTGAAGATGCTCCAATTTGTGACCTCTTTGGCACTAAATGGATCAGCTTCAATACTGGACTTTGCTTTCTGGGCAGCACAGGGTGCTGCTTCCCACCAGAATTGATTTGAGCCTTCTCTGCTGTGGTAGAGTTTCCTGAAAATCACAAAGAAAAGCTCCAGCTGCCACAGGGCTCAGGGTCAGCTGGCCCAGAGGCTTTGCTGGGAGCACCTCAGGCTGCTCCTCAGCTCTGAGGGCAGTGAACCTGCTGTGCAGCCACGAGTCCTCAGGTGGGGCAGGAGCCTTCCTCTTGGGAAGGCAGCATCCTCCTCCTCTCCTCACATTCCCAGAGGCTGGCATTGCTGTCCCACTGGCTCTGCCTCTGTGTCCTCCCTGGCTCTGCTTCTGAGGTCTCAAGGTCTGTGTCTCCCTTCTCTCTTAGTCTTGCTTTGGCAAACAGGGTTATATAGCCCTGTGTTAATCAGAGACTACAAACAAGCCAAAGGAAAGCTGTGTAAATAAGCCAGGGCAAGAGAAAGCCTTTCTGCTTGCCTTGGCCAAGATAAATTACAAGTACACAGGTAAATATACTGTTTAAAAAAAACAGCAGGCTCCTGAACCCACAGTCATCACCATATACAATGATAGAAAAAAAATCCTCAGCTGAAGGCAGATACACAGCAGACACAACAGAACAAGAAGCCCTTCCTAAAATGCATTAAAAAATTAAGTTTCTGAGAGAGTACGTTGGCAGCAGCCATTTACTTTATCTGTACATTTGGGAGCACATTTAGCAGCAGCTTTTCAATCTGAAGGATCAAATCTGACACAATTCATCAGACAATAAGAGTGAAATCAAAAAGACAGTAACTGGAAAATGCAATCCTCCCCTGAAATTTTCCTCAGCTCGCCATCTGCTTCCGTTCTATTACATCCCACTGGGGACTCACTGGCTTGCAACATCTCCTCTGGGTGGGATTGCCACAGATGGAGCAGGCAGGAGGGAGAGCTGCACTGCAGGACCCAGCTCTGGGGGACACAGAACGTGGCTGGATGTTCCCTTCTGACGAGGGACACAACTGGAACACAGGAGGAACCGAATGCCAGCACGTCACAGTGGGGCAAGGATGTGCTCCCAGCAACCAGGCGGGTTTTCCTCCAGTGAAAACAGCGGGGTTGAGCCACCCCGTGGAACCTTCACAGGCATTTCCCAGCAGAGGTTATTTCCTTGGAATACCCTCAAACAGCAGCATTCCCTGCAGTTGTCAGAACTGTTTTGCTGACACAGAAATGCATGTTGGTGTGTGTATGGAACCACTGGGACACGAATTTCCTTGAAGGAAGGATCTCTGAGCCATCCGGGGACAGGAACAGCCAAGCAGGGCTGAGTGAAATGTTATTTTCTGTCTTCTGAAACTCCAGTAAACTAAAATGGTGGAAATTCTATTTTAATAATACAGGCAATCCCTACAGCATAAAGACAACAAGAGGATGCCATGTTCTATCAATCATCCACTGAGAGTATAGGACATTTCTAGGAATACAAAGGCATTATCAAAAGTTGTTCTTTAGAGATTAACTTTTACCCCTACCTATACTTTACCATTTGCAATCTATCCCATGTACCTCAGAGCTGGGAGAGCTTGGGGGGTTGGGGGGGAAAATTCTTTTTTCCTATTAGTTTGTTCTTCATTATTTAAAATTCAAAGTGTATGTTGTTTAAAGGATACATTTAAGTGGATATTTCTGCTCCCAAGGAGAGTCTCCTCAGCATTAGAGGAGTAAGGACAGAGCTGTTTGACTTATTCAGCTGATTTTCAACCACAGTTGAGTTCAGTGTGCCCAAAACACGAATCCTGAATGTCCCAACCATCTTAATACACTTGAAATGAGTTCAGCTGTGAGCAGGTAACCTGAACCATGCCCAGGTGAAGAACATATAAAAACTCTTATTATTTAGTGTATACACCATTTGTTCACATAACTATCAGACAAGCTGTTCTACCCAGAAAGAGCAGCATTGTTGGCCCTGTGTAGGTGAACTCCTTTGCTCTATAACCCCCACTTACTAGAACTCACCCTCACTAAACTCCAGCCCAGTGATGCACACAGGTATGTCCTCACCTTTACTCAGCTCAGCAGCTATTTGGGTACCAGATGGTCAAGTCACATTGCTAAAGTCAAATTTGTGTGCAACAGTTTCTCCTGTTAAGCCACAAATCCTTTGGGACCCAACAATTCCTGCTGCTGTTGTGAGACTGTTTACTAGAGGTTTATACACTAAGAGCCATCTGCAATGGCTTTTCCAAGCTGCAACATGGAAGCAACATATATTAAGCAGGATCTGTAATGACCCTGCCCATCACATCAGCTCCAAATCCGAAAATTTTTCAAACAGTCCATGACATACTTTAAATTTTGCTGGAAGAAACACTTCTTCATACCTTTCAAACACCAAATAAAAATATCAACAGCAATCATATATTATATATATATGATTTTATATATATATATAATATACCATGAGGAGTCTTCAAGGAATTAACAAAAAGGAATTCACCTAAAATGTCCCATTTTTTTTCCCTAGACAATTTTTTTTTTAGGATTACTTAGATGAACTCTTATGATCACTTCAAACCACATGAATAAGTTTCAAGCCAAGTTAGGGAAAGCAATTCATGTTACTGTTCACATTTTAGGATATATTATGTGTTAAAATTCATTTGGTCTTTTGCTGAAATGCCAGAACATCCAAATGCTGAAACGCTTTCACCTCATTTTTGCAAAAGGTCATGTTGATTTTTCATGATGAAAAGTTCATACCTTCCTACTTAGCAAAAATGGGAAATACAACGAAAACAAAGTATGTTTAATGAGAAACTTCTGCTGTACTGATTTCCTGTTGTCTCACACTGGGTAAACTAAACCAGAAAACAAATAATTCTTTACAACAGCTGGCAAGGATCGTAACGTGAACAACAGGAAACTCCTGAAACCTTTACAAATCCATTTGAAAACCCCTCCATCAGATTCATTTCAGTTCTTTAAGTCTGGATGCCTCCAGGGATTTTGGACCCATTAAAAGCCTATGACAATGCATCAGTTTAGACAGATCAGGAATGAACATAGATTCTTTTTTTAAAAATTATTTATTCTACTCTAAGGTCTGTCTTTAATTTCTTATGAGTGATGAACACATGTTTATTGAGCCTTTCGATGTGTGATATGATATTACCTTTCTTATACCACAGTGCAAACTTTAAAACATCAGGAATAACCCCACCCAGACTGTTCTAAATAAAAGAATGTTTGTTTTTACTGTTATTTTTCTGACAACATTATTATTCTGCTTGTGTGAGGCAAAGCATGATTGTATTAAAATAATGGGAAAAATGTGTTTTTCATTTTGCACCTTTTCAGTAGGTATTTAATTTTCTTCAAAAGTTCTTGAAAACTGTGATGCTTTGGGAGAACAGTTAAGCATCAGAGTATCTCATGAAGAGCTTTTCCCATTCACACTCAGAAGCATTTCTTTCAGGAAGACCATTACTAGGATGACTTGTCTTGATTTTAGAATATCCATTTTAACCTTAAAGCAAGCTCACTACTTGGAATTTTAAAGTCTCCTGGCATGATGCTATATTTTGTCTCAAAATCCACTATACTGTGGTTTTACCCCCTCTTCCAGCTGTTGCTGTGCAGTAAATCAGTTGGATGTTTGGCTCCCAGCACCAGTCCTTCAGACAGGTTTGAGCAGACAATGGCCACTCTCCTGAAATTCACGTTTTCAGGGCCAGGAATGAGGAAAAATCAGGCAAGTGGAACATGTGGAATATCAAATATTAACATCAGTGGAGCCCACCCAGGAAAGATCACAGGTCTGTGGCAGCAGAGACCACATGAACCCTGTGACAAACACAGGAACATGCCTTGAAAATCCACCCCCTGAGGACAGGAAGGTTCTGAATCTATCACAGCACTGCATGTTGGCAGGGGCTTGAAATGTAACTGTTTATAAGACTGCTTTATAATCTTATTTCTGGGACCACACCATTAGTTTATGTAAATTCTATGTGAAGGAGCCCCACCTTTGCTGGGAAGGACTCCCAGGTCAGGCCAGTCAGCCACCCCTCTTACCCAGCTTTATTTTGTAGGTCACTTGTATATTGTGTGTTCCATTAAAGCTTACAACAGCCCTGAAGATATTGGGCAGTTATGGAATATGATAACGTTCCCCCTCTCACTGTTCACGTGTGGTACCAGACACATCCCCTGCCGTGGTTGCCAATAACTGGCTTTTAATGAGCTGTTTGTGCCAGTCAGCAGAAAGGTCCCTGCGGATCTGAGAGCTCAAGAACTCTCCTGTTGTTCAGAAATGACAGGTGACCTACCCCAGATCAGTGCATGTATCAGTGCCCACCGGCCCAGGGTCTGATTTTAGAAAAGACCCTTTTACAACTTCTTCCCCACTTGTAATGATAATAATAAAAAAAAAAAAAGCCCATCAATCCTCACTCATTTTTCCCTTCTAATTCACCTTGGCTGCAATGCCCTTCCCAGTTAATAAAAGTGAGGCTGGAGATGTGTTATGACTGCAGCCACATCTTATTGTCATCTCTTATCTTATATTTAGATCATAAGCTTTATGAGGCAACGTCTGTGTTTTTGCACTGATTTTATATGGTGGCTGGTGCACAGGCTTAATGCAAAATTGTGGCTCCTAGGAATTGTCTCTGATGATAAAAGCTGTTTTAATGAGTCTGCATTATCAATAACATCATTAGCGTTATTCCCTGATAAATTTCATCGCTTCCAAATCAATGTCAGGCAATTATTTTAAAATAGACAGTGGATGCATTATTTTCTAATAACCCTACAAATGCGTGTCTTGCTTAAACAAAGAGACAAATTCAGCTCCAGCTAAGCATGAAATACTCTGTAATGTTTTCATTATGAGGTTACATATGAGGTTGTTCATCAGATAGACTAAACGAGCAGACGATAAATAAAAATTGAAAGAGAGAAATGTTCAGGGCATCAGTATAAACTCAGTAGAGCTTCTGATTTTCCTCTGATCATCCTGCTTTGCAACCCTTCTGGATTCCTGCACTCAGGACACACAGGCTGAGCTGCCCCAGCAGTCCCCTGGTCAGCCAGGAGCCTCCTGGCTTTGTCCTCCCCAGAGCAGTGTCAGGGTCTTCCCTGCCAAGCCCAGCTTTGGTTCGTGGTTTTAATGAAAACCACTTCATGTATTACAGAATAAATTATTGTCCTTCTCTCTTGGATTATTGGTTTAAGTGCAATTAATTGGAGACTGAAGAAGGGAAAGCTGGTATGAAATACATTTTCCCTTTTGCCCTGTCTGCCCTCTCTCCCATGTAAGCAAGCCGGGCTTGCCACCAATTTCTTGCAGCTCAGAAACGATCATTTTGAAAGAGCATTTACCAGTGTTCCCAGGATATATATAGAGATACATATGTAGCTGTACATTAGGCACCATCAGTGTGCTTCTTCCTTTGCTTACTGAAAGAAAAAACATGGGGATAATATATACAGAGCATTTAAGAGTGTTTGTTTCCCCTGAATGCACTCATTTTGGTGATATTCATCATCATTAGGCACAAGGTTTGCTTCCATTTCTTTTTTTTTTTTTTTTTTGGTGAAGAAAGCTTCCTCACCAGCAGCATTTGCACTTGTACAGATTTGGATCCTCCCACTGGTGGAAGCTGTACGTCCTGGATTCAATGAGGGAATTTAAATTACAGAAATATGGACATAAATATTCATCTCTTTAGGCTGTTTTCACCTCCCTCCCCCTCCAAAAAAAGACGGAGTACTACAGCCAGTGGATTAAGGCACCCTGAGCAAGGGTGGGGAGGCACCAGGTATCAACTCCTCAGTCACTCAGCCAGCGCAGTGACCTTGTGTCTGTCACGGGAAAGGACTCGGGACCCGTTAATGCTTCAATCAGCTGCTTCTTTGTAACGTCCCGGGGACATAATGTCTCCTTGTATAAAT